ACCCTTAAAAAATGATGTACACATCTAATTTTTGTTATGGAGAGACAGCAAATAATAAATGTTATGTACCAGATACCACAATGAGCCAAAATACCACCTTTTTACTGTCAAAGGGCATGATGTACTTTAGGTCTGTTATTCAAATGGGCTTGCTCATCTCAAAGCCCAGAATTAGGCAGAATTTCCCTCTCAGTCACTGGCAGTGCTGGACCTGGGCATAGGGGGAAGAGCCAGCCTCTGGAGGCGCTCCCTGGGGGTAGCCCATTCCCAAGAAGACAGGTGAATGTGGGTCTTGCATTCCCAGTTCTTCCAAAATTTCCAAGCAGGTAAGTCACTTCACCTTCCCAGGTGGAGAGAGGCCAAGAGTGCCTTGAAGGAAAATCTGTCCTCAAGGAAATTAGGAACGGAAGCAATTCTTGAGCCGATGGCACACTGGCCTCTGATTCTACCATCCACGGAGCAGGTGCTGGAGGTGGCCAGGAGGTCTGGCCACAGGATGGTCATTGGTGGTGGAGATCTGCCTTGAGGGGCATATCTGAGTGCTCTGCCCTTGCTATGGTGGCAGCAAGAGACACATGGGGGTCGGGCGAGCTGGGCCAGTGCAAGCAGCCCCGAGAGTCTTTGGGTATGTCTGGAAAGGATAGAGCAATTTAGATGTTCAAGGAGTGTGGCCTCACTTTGCAGTTAGAGGAGGTGGGATCTGGGGACATACTGATTAGACATCTCTAGGCTGACCACTCCCAAATTTATAATACAGTCCAGACCTTGCTTCTGAGAGCCTATCTTGTATTTCCTGCGATGTCCTGTACACTCTAATTTCCTCTTCTTGGTCCTATGATCTGATCATGCTTCCATGTTCCCCATCTCAATAGATAGTCAGAAACCTAGGATTTATCCTTCTTGCTTTGCTTTTCCTCAATTGCCATTTCTAATCAACCATCAAATTTTGTTGATTTCACCTCCTAAGTAATTGTTCTGAACTACTTTCTATTTTATTTTTTTTACCTACACTGCCATTACTCCATTTGTTCCTACCTTCCCTGAATCCATTCTTAAAATAAAACTCTTTCTGTACTCACAACACTTCTGACATCAAATGTGTGGGTTTTTTTCCCACACAAAAACAATTCTCTGACACCAGCAGGATGTCCTACAATTCACTTTAATTCTGACACTATCTACATGGAGTTAGCATCAGATCCCCCAGGGTAAGGGCCCAGTCCCACAAAACTACCCCTACTTCAAAGGCCAATGGAAAGTGTGGACCTCCTGTACTTCTGACCTACTGGCTATAAATTGGGGGTTCTCATGATCCCCTTTTTGGGTTCCATAATTTGCTACAACTCAGGAAAATACTTTGTCAGTATTGGTTTATTATAAAGAATACTCAGGAACAGTCAATGGAAGACATGTGTAGGGCAAGGTATGTGAGAAGGGGGATGGAGCTTCCACGCCCTCTCCAGGTGTACCACCCTCCCAGCACCTCGATGTGTTCACCAACCCAGAAGCTCTCCCAACCCCATTGTTCAGGGTTTTTATGGAGCTTCCATTGTGTGGGCATGATTGGATAAATCGTTGGCCCTTGGTGATTAAACTCAATCTCCAGCCCCTCTTCTCTCCCTGGAGGTGAGAAGGTGGAGTGGGGCTGAAAGTTCCAACACGCTAATCACATGGTTGTTTCTCCCAGCCCCCATCCTGCAGTTATCTAGGGCCCCATCAAGGTCCCTCATTAACTTAAACCCAGCTATGGTTGAAAGGGACTTTTATGAATGATGAAAAACACTCCTCTCATCTCTATCACTCAGAAATCCCAAGGATTTTAGGAGCTCTGTGCCAGGAACCTAGGACTAAGACCAAATATGTATTTCTTATTATATCACAACATCTCAATTCTTCACGAAGCACCCAGACTGATCTATGAAAGATCAGATTATATCATTTCCACCTAAAACCCACCTATGTCTTTCTACTGCATTTGGGATCAAGTCTCAAATCCTTAACATTTCCACAAGGCCTGGATGATCCGCCCCTCTTTGCTTCGCAAGCTTTTCCTTATGACTCTCAACCACCTACCCCTCCCTCCCCCAGGCTCTCTCTGCTTCAGGTGTTTACCCAGGCTCTTTCCTCTGCCTGCAGAGTGCTGCCCCACTCTCCTTCTAGATTTTCTCCTGTCCACCCAGCACAGGTGTCTCTTCCTCAGGAAACATCTGTGACTCTCCAGACCAGGTAAGGGGCCCTGTGACACAGTGTCACTTAACTCCAGTAATTTCTGTTATAAGTTATCTCTTTCCTACTGGTCTACGAAAACTTTGAGAGTAGATCTTGTATCTGTCTGGTTCATTTCTATTTCAATATCTGTAAATATAACTGGGATGATAAAGCCTACATTTTGCAGAGATGAAAAATTTTCTTCCCTACTTCCTATCCCATGAAACTGACTCACATTCCCCCTCCTCTTTAAAATTTTAATAGCAGACTCTATAATGGATACTCAAAAATTGGATCTCTTAAAAAAGTAAGACCTATTAAAAATAGAAGTAGCTTTATTTTTTCCTACTAAGCATGAAAATAGTATGAGCTTATTATAAAAAATTGGATGGCAGTGATCACATTTTGTTTAAATCATTATTATCATAAATCCTTACTGTTGAGAACCTATTGTGTGCAAGAACTTTACACAGAGACTCCTTAAACTAGCCCTGCATGGTTGGCATCATCACTATCTTACAGATAAGGAAGCAAGGTTCATAGAGTCTTTCAAAGGTCACATCCCCAATAAGTGATGTGCCTGTGTGCGTGTGTCTGCAGATTTACGCCTGGGGCTATTAGACTGGAAACTGTGTGCTTCCCTCTGTTAAGCGGTTCCTAACCGGGATGGTCATCCTTGATTCTGATTCAGGAGATCTGCAATGGAGCCTGGAAATCCCTACTAGTCAGTTAGGCTGTTCTACAATTTACAGTTCTGCAATACCAGACAGTCTCCTTTTCTTAATTTAGAGAAAAGTATGAGTAGGCCTGACTTAACTTCTGATCCTTTCCTTAGGGTGCCAAGTTGTTTGGCCCATGTGATTGACTCCTGCCAGCAAATAAGCACTAACCTGCAAGCCCTCCTCCGTAGATCTGCTTGCTAATGCTCTAGGTAGGTCCACCTGTGATGATGCTCTCAGTTTGTCTCCAGGGTCCCTTACTTCTCTGCTGCTCATCTCCTGGTCATGGGGCATCTTGCCCGTGGACTGCGAGCCCCTGGGATCCTCAGTCTGTGGGCTCAAGTTGAAAAGCAAGGAAGGAGAGATCAGAACTAAGCTAAGCGATGTTGGGAAGTAAAAGAGAGAAAGAAGAGGAGAGGGAAGGAGGAAAGAGAAGGGGAGGGAGAGAGAGAAGAATCTGACAAAGTAATATTTTGTGATTATAGAGTAATAAGACTAATTTTTCCTGTGTGGCTGATGATCCATCTCTGAAGGCAGTTTTATTAGGGGAGTCCCAAACATGTAAACATTTAAAAATGTCACATAAAAGGAAACAGGATGGTAATGACACTTTAGAGGAGAAAGGCTGGACTAGTGCCAAGATGGAAAGATTTTTCATTCTGTGATATCAAGATCGTCTTTGGCTTTTAGGTCTTTGAATTTGGCCACCACTCAAGCCAAAGCTTGATAGCATGGCAGCGCTGAGGAGAAGCATCAAAGGCTGAAATGTTTAGTCAGAATGAAGGCATATGCACTTTCACAGGAAGGCTATTTCAGACAGTATCTAGCTGCAGGGTGAATTTGCTAGTGCAGGGCAATGGCAGCCCAAGAATGTAGGTGCTCCACCTGTTTCAGAGGCACCAGAAGGACCCCAAACCTGATTGTTGGTGTCTACGTATGCTAAGGGAGAACTTGCGCTGAATGAAATGTTTTGTAATTTTTTGAAATAGTCATTGAGTCACCCTAGCTCTTCAGTTATCTTTTTACATGTAACTCTTAAAAATCCTAAAGTTGATAGAACTCAGTGTTGGTAAGTATGTAGAGAAATGAGAGTCTTCACTCACTGTTATTGTTGGAGTGAGAATTGGTACAAGCACTTGGGAGGTAATTTAGCACTATTAAATGTTTTAATGTTTGTATCATTTGATCCAGCAGTTACACTTCTATAAATTTATCCTTCAGAAATACTTGCTTAAGTTTATAATGATAAACCTACAAGAATATACATTCTGTATTTTTAAAACTTTTCTTTATTTTTTAAAAAAGCTACAAATTGACTCTTTTTTTTTTTTTGTGAGGAAGATTGTCCCTGAGCTAACATCTGTGCCAATCTTCCTCTATTTTATATGTGGGTCACTGCCACAGCATGGCTTGATGAGCAGTGTGTAGGTCTGTGCCTGGGATCTGAACCTGTGAATCCTAGGCTGCTGAAGTGGAGCATGTGAACTTAACTACTACACCACCAGGCCATCCTCTAAATTCTTTTTTAAAATAGTTTCCACGTCTCCGTTGAAATTCTTCAACATGTTTCCATGTTGAACTCTTCAAACACATTTCCATCTTTCCCACTAGATAATTTAGCATTTTTATCATAGTTATCTTAAAGCCCTAGGCTGATAATTTTGACATTTGGGACATCCCTGGGTCTGCTTCTATTAACTTTTTCCTTTTATGATCATTGGTCACATTTTCTTGTTTTTATACATGTCTTGTGATTTTTAATTGCATTCTGGACATTTGGTATAAAAGAATAGTAGAGACTGAAGTAAACTATTTACCTTCAGAAGGTAAAAATCAGGCTACTTGAGTGAGGGAGTCAGTCTGATCTGTCCTTGACCTGGGTGTGTATTTTTTTGCAGTTTCATTTAGTTCACCATTGGCCTCAAGTGTGTTGAGGGTGGGATTTGGGCTTCCTCTTTAGCAAGGCTTGTATCTAAGAACGGGTGAGATTCCAGGGACCTTCTGGTGCTTCATGGCTCACCTGTCAACTTGTGGAGCTATTGGACATCTCTCCTTGCTCTGTAGACCAGCTGCCCACCTTTTGGGTTGCTGAGGATTTGCTTTTGCTCTGCATTCCTGCCATCTCTCTTGAAACTTCCATGCTTTAGTTAGGAGCCTGGAAAGTAAAAGCTCACTTTATTATTTACCATTAAAATTTAGCTGGCGGAAGAAACTACATTCCCAGGATAATTTTTCCCTTGTGGATACTTACCTGTTTTCACTAAATCCTCAGCATAAATAATATAAACAAGTAATTAAATCTAGGAAGCTTTTATACCTGCCCACAATCTTCTAAAACTTCCTACGATTAGCTGTGCTACCAGACTTTTGTTTTATTTTTAATTTGACATGGTAGTGTTGGATCACAGCATTTTTAAATACAAGATCCTGGTCAAAAATTATAACTACAACTGAAAGGCATGAATTGTGAATTGGAAATATACGTTGGCTGGAGAGAGTTTGAGATGTAGTAACAGATGCTGAATCTAGCATTTCCAGTGGATCATTTTGGGAGATAGTAGTGTCCAACGACAGTGGGAGAAAGTGGTGAGAGATTGCAAAGTAATAAATTTCAAGCCTTTGAAAGTTTTCGTGCTCATGTGCTTCTGAAGCTTCATGTTTTTGCCTCTGTGGAAAAATTCAGTTTTTATGTAAGAAAAATTTGATTTAGTGTCAAGGTTTGTTCAACTAGCTGGGAATCCAGAGAGACAACTTTGGGTTTGCATTCTCCTGTTTCCCTTTCTGAGCCCGGGGAATTGATCAGATTTAGTCTTCTCATTGCCCATTGATTTTTAAGAACAATCTCCAATTTCTGACATTTTTAAACAAGATGCATTTGAGAAATATCTGTCATTTCTCATGGGCTTAATAAAACTTTATGCTTTTTCAGCTGTGTAAAGTTTAGAAAATTGATTCTTTTTTTTCTTCCTTGATTCAACTGTGTTAAAGGCTGTCATCAGAGAGGAGGTTAATTTTCCCCTTTGTGTCTTATCTTCTTCAAAGCTTTTTGAAATTGCCAAACAAGGACACAGGTAGGTTCATTGACTGAATATTTGTTGTGATCAGTATGGAAATGCTGATTCATAGCTATTTCTGGTTGGTATAATGCTAAGTATAAAAACTTCAGTCTACATAAGAGTAGAAATCATTTATTATGCTAGTAAAAATGCAAGTAACTATTCTATAAATAAAACAGGAATACAAAGAGTATACAAAGTTATTTTTATGAATTAAAGCACAGCTACTTCTACTTTAGTACCAACTATGACAAGATTTTCCCCAATTTTTTTTTTTGAGGAAGATTAGCCCTGAGCTAACTGCTGCCAATCCTCCTCTTTTTGCTGAGGAAGACTGTCCCTGAGCTAACAGCATGCCCATCGTCCTCTACTTTATATGTGGGACGCCTACCACAGTATGACTTGCCAAGCCGTGCCATGTCCTCACCCGGGATCCGAACCGGCGAACCCCAGGCCACCGAAGCAGAACGTGTTACCTTAACTGCTGTACCGCCGGGCCAGCCCCTCCCCAATTTTTTAATTGGAATATTTTCAATCATTCAGAAAAGTTGAAAGGATGGTACAAGATAAACACTATATTTCACTTGCCTAGGTTTAATATTTTAATAGTCCAACGACCTAGGTTTACTATTTTCTGACAACTCTTAAAAGTGACAGCACGTCTTTTATTTGGGTGGTTGAGAATTTTGTTTCTGTTTATTTGTTTGGTAGTTTGCTTCTTGGTGATTAGTTACAGAGACAAAAAGACACTGTGACAGAATTACCCCCTCACTTCAGTGCCAGCATCGTGGTATCTGCTACTTGTGAGCCATTCTTTTGGGGCATGAGTTCTCTTGGATCATAGCAAGAAGAGAGGAAGAGGAGAAATGAGAGAAGCTTTCCTCTATAAACTGTCTTTTCCTCTCTTTTGATAAGTATTTGCTGATCTGAAGAATTAACCATGTGCATTGAGGCAGGATGAATTCAATTTTCTTCTTATGAAGTGAGGAAAGTTCCATCTTTCTAGGTCTTTCTGGTGTACTGTATTATCCGTCAGAGAGTTAGCTATGATTTTGGATTCTGTTATATTTCCCACAAACCTGTCTTCAGGGTTAATAGTTTATAGCACTCTCGTTCAGATAAGAAGGATTGGTGCTGGAGGATTTATGATATCTAACCTAATTTTCCATCACCATACCTTGACCTTGGCCTTCTAAGTTGTAGCCCATACAAAGCAATCGATTGGTACCGGCTAGAGGCAAATGACCCTCTTTAACTCTGGGGCAATAGCTAATGAAATCTTGATAATTGTGATTTATCCACTGTCAGCTATGATTGCGTGTGCCTGTCTGAAGCTGCTCTGAATTGATGGATGCAACTTGTATGACAGGAAGCCAATTCCAGAGGCTTTCTCCTTGTATCCTTAGCCTCACCAGGGCTCCTAGAATGGGATTGATGAAGTCATTTTTCTTTCATTGTGGTCTTCTATAATGAAATACGGTAAAAATTCATCTTCTCTTGAGCATGCCATTTTTCCCTTGTCAGATCTACAGTCTTTCCTTGACCGAACCAATTTGTTATCTACAAAAGCGATGGCCTTGCACTTCCCTTTTGATTCAAGGAGCTTTGGTTTGGCCAGGGGAAGTTTTCTTCTCTAAATTTAGTAGAGGGTCACTTCTTTCCTTAGCCAAGCTATTTGGTTTCCCTTTTAATGAATTTGAGAGAAAAAGAAACATCTGTTCTTGGAGACCCTCTGGAATACGTCAAACTGTCTTATCCTTCAGCATAGTTGAGCAAAACTCAAGGCAAGCTAGGTTGAAAGAAGCCAAAACTAATTTTTCTATATGTTCCAGAATCGAAGGATACCTTCATCATTAGTAGAAATGAGGATGTGATAGTCTGGATCCCCCTCATTTAAAAAAGTCATCACTCATGAATTTGAGGAGCCCTTGGAGTCAAGCTCTTCATGCTTCTGGCTTATTGGAAGTGAAAGCCTGTTGGCATGGCCTTTAAAGTATTGAATCATAGATAATACTGGATTTAATATTAACATGGGAGAGTAGTTGGAGCAAGAAGAGAAGATCTTATCCTGATGTCCAGCCTCGCCGCAAGGATACGGTTTTATATATTTTTTTCCACTGGCTTTTGCTTGGTAGTGCTTGATTTCAATTCAGTTTGCATCTGAAGTTCAATTTGCTGAACCCTTATTTGTTTTTGTGTTTGTACAAATTTATTGCCTAGATAAAGGATGTTAAACATTTCTTGGGCACAGGAAAATGAAGACTCCTTATATTTAAATAAGGCAGCATGTCATATTAAATGTGAGGTCTTCTATTGGCAAATGATGGTGATTGCAGCATGAATATGATGGGTTCTTAGCATCTCACATGTGGCACAAGATACCTGCCTATTAGTACAAATGGAATCACATCAATCATAATGACCCAAATGGCACTGACTTCTATCTCAGCCACTCTGGCAGGACTTCACCTTGTAAAATAGTTTTTGAAGTCTCCAGGAGGTCTTTCCCCTGTGCGCATAAATGAACACTCCAGCTCAACATTGCTGCTGCTTTGCCACCTCCATAGGGTACCTTTTGGGCCCTTCTGTCTCCTGCTGGGTCCCAGTGCCATGGGTCTGAGTCCTGAGTCCTGATATTGTCCCTGATGCCCCAGAGCCAGAGCTGCATGGCTTCCGTGAGGCAGGGAAGAATGCCCACTCACCTTGGAGCTTGGTGTTGCCCTCAGCTAGAGGGTCGCAAAGCACTACTTGCCCCAGCACACCACCAGAGCTTTTCCCTTTTTACGTGACCTGTATTCCATAGGACTCAGGTATGCGTCCAGTGGGGATGGGCCTTGAGAGCATCATCATTATTATTATACATAGTTAACAGTGATTGAGCAGTTATTATGTGCTTAGTTGTGTGATAAGCCCTTTAACAATTATTTTAATTCTAGATTCTATTATTATTTCCATTTTATAGAAGAGGAAACTGAAGTTTCAGAGGTTAAATAATTTGCCCAAGGATACCTAGCCAATACTGGCAGTCTGACCTCAAAGTCCGCTATCTTAATCTCTAAATCCAAACTGCTGACACTCTGCTGTTCTCAGCATCACCCCTACTGCTAGTAACCGAAGCTTCTCTATTGCATTAGTTCATGGGGCCAGGTTCCTTCCTTTTAGGACAGCTTTTCCTGTAGAAGCATCCTCAGCCTTCTAGCAAATAAATTTCAGTTTGGTTCTTCCACCGATTCATCAGACATACACAAATTTATGCAAAGTTTAGAAAAACGTAGCATGATTTCTTTTTTCCCTAGAAGGCACTTCAGTCTTTTAGGCAAATTGGCTTATCCTCATTTACATTTCTACTAAGTCCCAGTATACCCCATCTTCTACATGAACCACCCCCCACACAATTATAACTGTCTGTTATGATACAAATTGCTAGTTCCCCTCAATATCCGTTTTCTCTTTCTTGTGTAAAGATAGAATTTCTCATTTTTACCTGGGCACATGGTTGCCCTGAGAATAAAGGCTGTATTTCCCTATATCCTTTGCAGTTAGTTGTGGCCATGTGACTCTATTCTGGCCAGTGGGATGTGAGGGGAAGTGATGTGTGTGGCTTCCAGGGAGAGGACATGCCCTTTCTTTTTCCCTTCTTTTACTCTACTGAGTAGAATGTGAACATGACAGCTGGTCATCTTAGATCTTGTGGGCAATGGCCATGCTCAAGGGACGGTGGTGCAATAATATAGAAAGAGCCATGGACAACCTCATGGAATAGGGCAAGCCTGCCAGCCTTCCACTTATGTCTGGTTTGTTTCATGAGAGAGAAATAAACTTATTTAACTCAGTGCAATGTTGGGTCCCTGCTTCATGTAACTAAACCTGATTCTTAATTCAAAACTTATTGTCTGTCTTCCCCTGTGGACTGAAGCTCCTTGAGGATGGGCACTATGTCTTAGTCACCATTTGTGCTAGTCTAGTTAGGACTAATTGGTTGGTTCTGGAGATGGAACTGGAAACAGATTAGTTTTTTCCTCCAAATGAAAGGACATTTTTGATGAGACACAAATACGCAAGGTATGAGTAAAGCACAAGCAAACTTTTATGCTACCTC